TATAGAAGAGAAGTTTTATCTAACAACTGAAAATTGTTTAGTTGAAATATTTTATTAAATAGTCAATGTCAACTGGTTCCTCCAGAGATTACAAAAAGTGTATACATTTAGAACAAAAATGTAACAAAGGTAACCCTAATTCATTTTCAAGCACATAATTGTTATTAGGTACAATGCTCTTATCGATATTTGTATTTTTTTATCTGTGATCACTCGATTGCTCTTTGAGGTCCAAATTTGGATTTCGAAACCATATTATGTAAGGTACAGCCTCATTTTCGTTGTACGTTGTAAATGCGTAAACATTACACGGTTAGTAATATATTTTTTTTTTTGCGTTTTATTTACCTTAAATTCGTATCGGTATGAAAAAACATACGAGTCATAATAATACACATAAAAAAGCTCCTTAATGGTAGATGTACTCAGATTTTTCGTACTATGAAATGTGTTGGTATACAAAAGACCTTGGAGTTTGATTATGCTAAACATACTCGATATAGACACAAATGTGTTGTATACCTTTAGGCAGAATTCCCAGAAATGAGAAAATTGTAAATACATTTATAATATACTATTATTTCTATAATAATAAAAAAATCCAGTCATTTCAATTAATTTGCCTACGCACACTCACAAATTCCCCTTGGTATGTTTCTAATAAAACTCTTCATTCTGATCTCCAAATCAATTATGTAAACAATATCGCCAAAAACTGCCTCCCAAAATTTCATAATAAATTCATCTCTCACCCTAACCCTAATATACGCTACCTCTATTCTAATCATATCCCTGATTAAAAAGGAAATGTAGTGTAGAGACCTCCTATAAATTATAAAATAAAAAAAATAAAAACAAAAAATAAATATTAGATAAACTAACTCAAAATTTAAAGTAGGTAGCTCCATTGGGTGCCCCCCTACTGCATGCTACTCAAGCTATATTATTAATTTTCTTTTTTTCTGTTGTGCATTAATTTTGTATAGATATAAATATTCAATATAACAAAGACATTTTCTAAAAAAAAAAAATTGTATATTTACTTTCTTAAACGGGAAAACGTACAGAAAACACGTTTTAAGTTGTATTATTTATTTTAAACAAGAAGACTACTTGTTTTGTTGTTTTGTATGCTTGTTCAAACATTTACAGTCACACACCATTGTCCTAAATAAGAAAATTTTCGAAAACAAAAACAACATCTTTTATCATTGACCTAGTCATGTTATTTGAAGTCTCCAACGTTAAAACGGTTTTGATTATTATTATATTTTGGGTCCATGCATTTTTTCTAAAATTATAGGGCAATTGTTAGTATTCCTAATTTAGTTTTATAAATATATAGAAAAATATTATATTTTAATACTTACAGAATACATTTTATCTCTTATGGAATATTTATAAATGAATATAAATGTTTGAATAATGCATTATACAAATATCATGATACAACATACATGCTAAATTAGGCATTTTATACAAATTAGGAAACATCAATTGCTCAACGATTACCTTGAAGGTATTGAATGCATGAATGCATGTTGTATTACGGAAGTCGATTGTTGAATAACTGTTTCATTTACATCCCAAAGACAAATTTGAGCGAATAAAATAGGATTTAAACACAATATTAAATGAAATATTATTAGTCGATTTCTACATTAACCTAGAATAGTGGCCGATCAATTCAAATATTTTTTCAGAATTTAAATCTAACCATCCTGAGTTGGTGTAATTATGTCCGGGTTTTAGGCCTAAAATGTCCAACAAACAGGCCACTTCAACCCCCATAAGATGGGTCAAAATCTATTTACTGGAATCAAACTTTTAATTTTTACAACAGTTTTTGGCTACCATAAATTCTGACTTGAGAGCATTTTCTTCAATATCTAATAAGTAAGCATGCTGTTCCCAATACACGTTCAATCAATCTTGTCAATATATTATTTTCACTTCAAAATATCTATTTGTACCTAACCTAACCTAACCGAATTCCAGCAAGTGTAATAATAATTCCAACCATTGCATCAACCTCTTATCTAACCTAGCCGGTTGTTTTTTAAATTGTTCTCAATTGGCAATATAAAATATAAACGGATATTGTATCGAGCGTTTCAATTGAAAATCCATTCATTTGCTGTTAAAATGAAATTGTTATTGTGTTTTCTGCTGTTGTTGTCGTTGTAACTGTTCTTATTTGTACACATTTTTTATATGCGAAAATAGTTCACTGAAAAACAACTTATTTTTTTTGTCCCATATAGGTCGGTTTTTATAACTTTGTGCGACTTGTTGTTTTCAATAGTCCACAGTATTTTTTGTCCCTGCATATTATTTTGACATTTTCAAGTCTTAGTTCTGGCACATAACCGAAAAAGCGTAACGAAAAAAGCGTTACGTAAAAAGTGTTATCAATAAAGCGTTACCACACGGAGATGAGGTTGGGGGCGGGAGATAGGGGTGGAAATAGGGGTGAGAATAAGCCGGTACATAACCGAAAAAAAGTGTTACCAAAAAAAGCGTTACGCTGTTATCTGATATGAGATAAGATAATATATGTTGTACGTTCAACGTTCAAAATAGAAATGAATAATAAATTCAAAATAGTTTAATTCTCTATGTTAAGTTACTTTTGGCCAGATAATAAACACTACAATTTTAGCCAGAAACTTGACTGTACATAATTTTTTAATCTCCTTGGCCTTATGCTGTAACTGGAAGCTCCATGTAATTTTTTTTTTTAATTATAATTCCACAACTAATCTAAATTTTATTTGGTACTTCAACGAGACATGAAAATGCTTTTTCGTGGTTGCAGACTCGGCTGAAAAATGGCTGTTTTTTCGGTTCGAATACATATAAAAGCAATTTTCATAGAACAAATAGATTTACACAATACAGTATATCTTGGTAACCTCTACTTTAAGTATAATTTTAATTCCGAAAACTACAAATAAAGAAAAAAGATTAATTAATCCCTCTATTTTTCTAAACAAATATGCTTTGCTTAAAAGTTAATTTAATATAATATAAGTCAGCGATTAACTATCAAAATGTAATTTATAATACGTGATAGTTACGAAGCGATTTAAAATTATATATATTTATTTTTTATTAATTGAATACAGGGTGATCATATTATCGTGAACTATTGTATATTATTTATATACAATGTGATATCAATTTTTCACCATTTTGTTTTTTTTTGTTTTTGCCCCTCTTTAAAACTAATTATTTTTATATAAACATATGTAACTTAAATGGTAAAATATATATTACTAACTTTTTAATTGAAGGACATTTTACTAAAAAAGTATTTTTTAGCCGCGTCTGCAACCACGAAAGAGCATTTTCAAATCTCGTGGAAGTACCGAATAAATTTAGAGAAGATGTTGACACGGTAGAAATGGGGGGTAGAAGTAAATAGAAACAAAAAAGAAACCGAATTTTAAAAGAGTTAAGGTTTTTTTTAATTTTTTTAACTTAGAAAAGAAACGTGGTATAACGTGAATACGCGGGACGGCGGCGGATGGCAAACCGGACCAATGTTAAATCAATAACTGATTATCGGATTGCCTACAGTGGTCATCGCCGCCGTGTTTCGCTGTAAAGATGACACCCCCCGGACCTCTTTATACACCGACGGCCGGCTTGGGCCGATATAGTAGTTTATCTTTCCCACCTGCGGTGAGACGGTGGACAGTTGATAACACGACCGGGCGCACATTTAATCGCTAATAACGGAAACATGCACTTGCAAGCCGTGTCAACCCTCCCCCACTAAACGGTCCAACCGGTGAACTTAATCGGTGTCTGTTCCTCCCTGTCTTTCACATCTCCTCGAGTGACATCGCTGAAACCTTTTCAGGCAAGCGGGCCATCAGAGCACTCGCATCGCACCGATGACCTGGTGGTCAAGGGCGGGCGTAGTAGAACTGAGAAGGAGGGGACAGGGAAAGGAAAGAAGTTAGGAGGTGGTGTCTGACGGTGGTTGGAGGAAGATGTCGATTTCCTCGATCTTATGGTCAAGTTGACCATCGACGGTGACGTCCATCGCTGCATCCTCTTCCTCCTCTGCCGTTGTTGTTACGGGGGCATGTGTCCTCGGTGTGGGGATTGGTTTCCTCTTCGTCGAGGTCTTCCCTGAGTCGGTCTGTGGCGTTGGTTTCTCCAACCGGTGTTGCTGGGATATCCGACTCATTTCTTCCCGCTTCACCTTCCTCATCGCCTTTCGGTACTCGTTGAGACGGATCATCCTCTTCCGTCTCGCCGATACCGTGTTGTTGTCCAGTTCAGTGCTGACTGTGGTCGAAGTTCCGGCAGACTGGTTCGCCGTGGACACAGCTCCAGTGTTCTGGACGGCGGAGTTGGATGGTGTTGCCGAAAAGTTGGAGGCGCCCTTAGGCGTCTTGTGGCGTGGCGCAGTTTGTTGCCACGAGGACCTACCAGCGTAGGGCGTGGGCTGACGTACCGTAGGTCAGTAGATTGATCAGTGGAGGTGGTGCCGGGACGCTGATCATGCAGGCTTGCCACCCACGGGTGAAGGCCGCTCACAAAGCAGGGTGCTTCTGTAGCTCGCTTTGGGGAGCTGTGAGCACTTGCTCGGGCGTTAAAGTTGAGCTGGGTATGGTCGCCCCAAACGACTGCAGCAGCTGTTGCCCACGAAGGTGATGCTGCACCATGATTTGCAGGAGGTTGCTGCTGTTGTTCGGTCTGGTTGATTAAGACATACTGAAAATTGTACAAAATATTAATTGACGCAGTCTCAATATCTTCTGCAATGAGTAAGCTAATGAGGCCTGTAAAGGTCCTCCTTACCCACCAAATGGGACGATTTCAGACACGAAACGTGAAGTTTCCGGGGTGGTCGCTGGTCAGTGAGGTAAACACCTGAGCTCAAGCGTTCCGCCAGTCGGACAGGTCCTAGCCATTTCGGCGCGAACCCCGCATGGAAACCTTTGTCAGCGTTCGATAAATTATGAGCTTTGTAATACACCCAGTCACCAGTCGAAAAATTTTGATTTAATCGGGGTGACTGATTTTTGATTTTTTTCGTGGTTTTCGAAGGCAACTGTCTCTTGCCCTCGTCTATGTTGGTTGATCTCCACCACGGGAATGACGGGAGGTTCAGATAGGGCCCAATCGCCGGGCCGTCTGGCTTCTCTGCCGAGTACCAGAACCGACGGTGGGAAACCTGTAGCCTCGTTCAGTCTATTCCGAATAGCGAAGAGTATCGACGATAGCTTAGTGTCCCAAGAGCGATGACTTTCGTCCACGAGGTGTGCACGTAGTCCTTTCTTCAGCTCTTGGTTGCGACGTTCGACGGGGTTAGCTCGTGGATGGAACACCGGAGTAGTCCACCCCTCCGCCCCCCATCGGTCGAGTGCTCTGAGCATTTCTTTCGAAGTGAACTGAGTCCCGTTGTCACTAAGGCACACTCGAGGGTACCCGAACCGTGAAAAGAACTCGCGTTCGAGAGTTTGAATGATTACATTAGCGGTGGCCGTACCTAGCGGGTAGGCTTCGACCCATCGGCTAAAGCAATCGGTGACCACCAGTATGCATGTTTTACCCCTACCTGTTCTTGGATAGGGGCCCATAAGATCTATACTGATGACTTCCCAGGGTTGTCGAGGTTCCTAGGTTTGAGGGGATTCTCTGGTTTTGCGTTCAGAGGTTTAGTACAGGCACATATGTGACATGCACCTACGTATTTCCTAATATTCTCTTTCAAACCTTTCCAGTAAAACCTAAGTCGTACGGCCCTGAAAGTCTCTTTCCAGCCTGGATGACTGGCTAGAGTGTGGTCATGATACCACCAGATGATTTGTTGGATTTTGTTAAGTGGTATTACGATTGGGGGCAACGAGGAGGAGCAATTTTCTATATGTTTCCGGAGAAGGCCATTATTTAAGATGAAAGATTTTTTTAGTGCTTTTGACCTTCTGGTATTGTTGGCTGGACAGTCAGAGGATATGTTTTCTTTTATGGAGCTAACATATAGATCAACTGATTACCAAGCTTTCAAAACCTCTTCGGAAATAGGTGTATCGATTTGTTCTACCTCTTGTTGTGTCAATGAAAAGAGTCCATCAGGGGTACCATGTGAATTGTTTTTTTGTGTTTTTAGTGAAGGTTCTCCTAGTAGATTTTCATCGAGTTGGTCTTCGTTGACTGGCGGACCATCAGATGGGTACCGGGATAACATGTCAGATGCTTGATTAAGGCGCCCTGGCACGTGTATCGTTCGGAAATCCAAGTTACTTAGTTGTAACGCCCATCTGGTTAGTTTAGACTTTTGGTCTTTGGTCTTATGCAGCCAAGTCAACGCCGAGTTATCAGTAAGGAGTTCGGAAGGTGCTGTTTCTAAGTAGGGGCGGAACTTATCGACTGCCCAAATTATAGCTAAACACTCTCTTTCGACTGCAGTATAACGCTTTTGTGTCTCGCTCAACTTTTTGCTTGCGTAGGCAATGACCTGTCTTTCCTCCGGGCTGTCACCCCTTTGGAAGAGAACAGCTCCAACGCCTATTTCGCTAGCATCAGTTTGGAGGTGGATTGTTTTACTGTAGTCGGGAGAGCTTAGTTTTGGGGAGTCGTACAGGGCCTTTTTAATGCTTTCAAAAGCGTTCTGTTCGTTACCTGGCCATTTCCACTTCTCACCTTTTTTTAGCAGTTGTGTTAGGGGTGCAATTGTATCAGCATAGTTATCTACAAACTGGCTTTACCAATTACAAACGCTTAAGAACCTACGAAGCTCCTTAATTTTGCGGGGAGTTGGGAAGTCCCTAATAGCTGAGAGTTTTTCGGGTTGTTTTTGTATTCCCTCTGCATCCACTAAATGTCCAAGAAAAGAGATTTCGGTTGTCCCTAGTCTACATTTCTTGGGGTGGCATGTCAGTCCATGTCTGCTCAGACGTTCAAGGACTTTAGCTAAGTGGTTTAAATGGTTGCTAAGGTTATCTGAATATATTACTATATCGTCGAGATAAACTTGAACAAAATCATCTATGTACCCTCTTAACACTTCGTTCATGAGCCTAACAAACGTCATGGGGGAATTCTTTAAACCGAAAGGAAGAACTCTGAACTGGACCTTTGCGAGTACGGAAAGCTGAGTACTTCCTAGAATTGGGGTTCAACGATACTTGAAAGTATCCAGATTTAAGGTCTAGTATACTAAAGATCTTTGCGCCCCTCATATTCCTTATCATGTCATTTAAGTTTGGCATGGGGTAGGCATCAGATTCCGTTAACTCGTTTAGTCGTCTATAGTCAATACAAAGGCGTGGCGAACCATCTTTTTTTTTTGCAAGGACTATAGGAGCGGCCCAGGGCGATGTGCTCGGTTCTACTAGGCCTTGCTCCTCCATATCCCTTATCATATCGTTTATGATGTTTTGTTTTTTAGCCGGATAAGGGTATGGGTGTAGAGCGATGGGGATGTGGTCCCTAAGTCGAATTTCATGATCTACCAGCTTCGTGCGGCCTATTGAACCATCGAAAACCTCAGAATATCTGGTGATGACTTCTGTTAGTTGGTTTTGAGTCATAGGATCGCCCGAAATTTGGATTTCAGAAAAATCTAACTTTTTGGGTCCCCTTGTTGTCTTAGTGGCTGCCCAACAAACGGATGTTCGTTTGGAGGTCCCTAAGTAGATTGTACCTGCGGAGTAATCCCAAGCGACTTCGTTTTCTACAAGGAAATCGTGCCCTAATAGGATATCGCAGTACAGGTTGTCTAGAATCGAAGCATTAAATTTAATTTGTACTTCTGCGACTCTAGCGACGAATGCGGCGTGGCCACTGGTTGTTTGAGTGTGCCCGTCTGCCATTCGAACTAATGAATTTAGTCCTATAAATGTTTTCCCGAATTTTCTCGAAATTTCCGGCCTAACATACGACTTTTGTGCTTGAGAATCAAGAAGAGCAGTGACGAAACCAGAAACGAATTCTAACTCTATACATGGAGTTGGTATTGTGTTAGGGTTTCTATTTAATACCGTTCGTACGGATGCAAGTCCAGAGCACTCTAATGGTGTACTTTGTGTCATGAATAAATTTCGAGAAGTGTCGAGGTCGTCTACTAGTCTATATTCATTTACTTTAATGCCAGTTGATTCATTTACTGAATTATCAGAGCTGAGTATAAGAGGTAAAGGGACTAGTGGGCGGTCGTCGGAATGTGTGTGGTGACCCGTGGACTGGACTAAGATCCGCGGGGTTTGGGGCCGTTTCCCGAGGGCTTTGTAGGACATTCACTGTTCCAATGAGGTCCCTTGCAATGCTTACAGGGGAGAGGTGGCTTTCGGTTTGTGTTGTTTACCGAGTGGGCCCCAGAGTGTTTTGCTAAGTCAACTGGTTTTGACTTAGTAGGTGGGTAATAGAACTTCTTCAAGTCCCTCGGCGGTGCTGCGTCTTGGGTCTCTTGTATGGAGTACGAAGAGCTATCTAAGACTGCAGCTATTCGCCTAAGGTCTGTGAACGACGCGAGGTGTTGGAGTCTAGCATGTATTCTAAATTCGTCTCTCATGAGCCCTACAATAGTACTAACTATTTGCGGTTCGGAGAGACCTGTTTGAATTCGACGTGATAATTGGTTTTTCTCCATGACAAAATCGGTCAGTCGTTGGTGTGGACCTTGTCGAACTGACACAATTTCGGCACGGAGACGGGACTGGATGTCAGGGCAGTTGAACCTTTCGGCTAACTCGCCTTTAAATTCAGGCCAAGACATATCTAGAGCCTTAACCGTTCTCCACCATGCAGCTGCCGTTCCCGTTAATTGGGGTTCGACTGCTCTAACCCATGCGGCTGGGTGTATTTTTGCTTCACGCAAAATACATTCGGAATTTGCCACAAATCGTGTCGGGTCCTCCTCTTTTGTACCAGAAAACTCAGAAAGTGACGCTCTTGCAGCTTTTAGGTCATTAAATGGGATAAGTAATGATTGGTTCCCTACCCTAGTGCTAGACGAATCGTTAAAATCGTTTTCGAACTGTACGGTACGGTTGGGTCGACTATCATTTTCCGTATGTCGTACAGAGTAGGTATAGGGTTGTGAGTCATACAAACGATTATTGACTGTATTAGAGTTTAGGTCCCAGCTTGTACTATTTAGAGGAGCCTGTGCTGTCCCTTTGCTCCCTAACTGGTGTAATGAGGTCGTATCGTATAAAGTCAGCTGGGGACTAACCGTTCGCCTGATCTCCTCTTCGGTTTGTAATAACCTATCATGGAGTGAGGCGGGCTGACTATCGATACGAGTTCTATTTACGTTCAAATTAGCGGTGGGAGTGGCCCTATTTTCTACCGTTACAGTAGGTACTACTGGCCTAAAACTACTACAGTTTGTTGACCTAACCGTTTGGACGTCCTGTTCAATACTTGAAATTTTATTTAAAATTTTTGTTTGATTAGTTAAGACCCGTGACAAAGCGGTTTCAAGAGCGGTTATCCTTAGTTCCAGATTCCCTACTAACTAATAACAAATAACCGGAACGTTTAAGAGAAAAACAAAAGAATTGTTATTACTTATTTTTTTTTTGTTCGTCATACGCTGCATGAAAGTAGTAACCAAATAAGGTGTTGTTTGTTTATATAAATTAAAAAAAAAAAATTATATAAACCTTATTTCTTCCTTCAGTATTTTAATTTTCTTTCAACCGGTTTCACTTGAAAAAAAAGTAGTAACTATTCGCAAATATGCTTAATCGTCAATTTGGTACGTTTTTAACCGAAGTAATTAGCGTAAGTCAAATATCCGTTCGGCCGCGCGGGTTACTATTTAATAAATGGCTGGAGAAGGCAAAAAATAAATAAATAAATATAAATTTATGTTATTTAGTGAAAATATTATGCGAAGAAAGTGAATTTTATTTTCCAACAGTGATGGTTATTTGGTAAATTTCAACTTAATCGTATGGTGGACGGTACCGGGACGCGGGTGTGATATGCGTTACAATAACAATAACAAGGTGAACGTTACTAAAATCCTAACCTGTATATTGTACGCCGGTACTAGCACGTCACGTGTGTGGCCTAACTAGGTATATATTCGTTGTAAATACTACACTAGTAGGATGGAAAAAAACAAAATTTACACGAATAAATATTTTGACAATTTAAGTAAATTAAATATTATTTAAATCGAGTGTAAAATTAGTGTTTAATATCTGGCTTAAAACAATTCATACAAACATGACCTCTTAAATTATTGAATTCATTTTAGTTTAGTTCTAGCTTGAACGTTGTGAATATAACATATATTCCCCCAATCCTACCCCACACCCATCCACAACCCAATTCCTACACCTATCTCCTATTACATTATATCTTATCTCTCACCCCTATTTCCTACCCTATCTCTTATCTCTCACCACTATCTCCTATCACCTAATCTCTTACCTAAAATCTCTAATCAGATAACAGTGTGAAATCCAACCACACCCTATTCCCATCCCATCCTCATTCGAACCCCTACCCCCAACCCCATCCCCATTCCCACCATACTACATTCCATCCTTCCTCCTTTCTCCTTCTCTAACATTTATTATATTAATTGTATTTAACTCGAATGATTAAGTTACGATTCAAACTT